TCCGTACAAGACTTGACTTATAAGGAACATGAGTGACTTGTAAGGCAAGAGAACACTGGTGGTTGAGAGACAAGGAAGATATTTCACCGTAGAGACAAGATGAATGTCGGCAAAGAGAAGAGAGAGCCGTTGGAGAAGAGTTCAAATGGAGAGAGAGAGCCGTTTAGGTTATGTCACTTTCAAGCTCCACTATCTCGGTTAAGCCCCCAATTGTTTAGTCTTATTTGGTCTTGTCCTTTAGCTTCCTATTCTGCCTATATAACCACATTGTATGCATACCAATTAAAGTTAAGGAAAATAAATCCTTCTTATCTCTTTCTCTTGCGCAAACTCTTTTCTCTCTCTCTCTCTCCCGGATTTATTCATTCTCTCTCGTGTTCTTGAGGCTATCTAAAATATTTTCTTACACCCACCAGCGTTCTGATGGGACTTTTGTGCATCCTCAAGCAGAGAAGATCTACCACGAGGTAGAGGCTCGGATCGAAGAGGTCCAGACTCAGATGTCGCAACAAAATCCGGATGCTCCACCGGTCCAACTTACAACCATCGACCAAGACAAGATTTTCGAGCAGGTAAATTATTTTAATTTTTAACTTTATTAACATTTTTAATTTTTTATTAAGTTTTCACATTTTTACTTAAAATTTGATCTTTAATTTGTAGGTTGCTCCGAAGAAAAGGGGACGTATTGTTGGGATCGGGACGGTGAACGATGTCCCGAGGGCGAGGGCCGAACATGCAGCAAGAATAGAAGAAGATTCCTCTCACCGACGGGAACTAGCAGCTGCCAACAAAGTCATAGACGAGCATAAAGACAAGTTCAAGGCTATGGCGAATATGTTCGATCTTATGATGGAGACCTCGAACCCAAACCCGACGGTTGCCAATGCATGGCAAGCTCTACGTCCGAGCTTTAACCCCGACCCCACTCCGGAAGAGCAAGTGGATATGGATCGACGTGCGGAGTAGCACTCTTCTGAGTTCTTCCAAAACATGAACCTCAACAAAACACCTTAGTTTTTCGGTTTTTTGTATGAATACTTTGTATATTATTTTAATCAAATATAATTTTATATATATATTTTTAAAATTTATTATTTTTTTAAAAAAAAATCGAACTAAAAATCAAAAATTAAAAAAAAATCAAATTAAAAAATCGTTTTATTTAAAAATAAAATCTAAATTGGTCGTAAATTAGTCTTTGATTTACGACTAATCGACAACAACTGTCAAAGTTACTTAGTTGTAATATTACGACTAAGTAACTACTAATGTTTACGACTCGTGAACTACTACACGCATTACGACTATTTAACTACTAACTTTTTTATGACTAATAAACTACTAATAGATTTACGACTACGTTACGACTACGCGTGTCACCTCAACTTTACGACTAATACCTTAGTCATAATATTACGACTAGGTTACGACTAATGCTTGTAGTCGTAATGTTACGACTACGTTACGACTAATTGTGCATTACGACTAGCGAATAACGACCAATTGGTTTTCGATGTTAATTGGTCGTAAATGGCATATTACGACTAATTAACAACCAATAGTGTAGTCGTTAGACACCTGTTTTCTTGTAGTGTTTATATAAAAACGAACTTTTTATATTTCAAACATTACAATGATGAAGAACGGTAGTGTATTCCATACATATCATGCAATTCATCTCAAATAGAATAGTTTATCAATCAATTCCATCTCAAATAGAATAGTTTGAACATATAATATTTCCTATTCTATTTCAAATAGAATATGCATAAAAGATCTCATGCAGACAAGTTGTATTTCAGCTGATATTCAATACAACAAACGAAATTGACCATAATGCAATGCTATTCCACACAGTAAATTAAATTAGTATATTGTGTAATTCATATATCGAATAAAACACAATTATAATGTACGAAACACAACGAGTAAATCATAAACCATACTATTCAAATGGAAGAGAAAGTACAATAAAATGGAAGTGCATCCAAGCCAAATAGAATAGAAAGTGAATTTGCACAGACAAAGAGACGGTGAAGAGAATCTACGGAAAACAAGGACAATTTATGGGAGTTTTAGAGACCTAATTCCCATAACAAAGTAGAAATAGATTGAAAATAAAATGATATGAAGAGAAGAAACCAGAGAACTTACCGTCTGCCAATCAATCGGAGATGATTGGAGTTTCAGAAGTTTCCTTGAACACTGGTTGTCAAACGTCGCTGCTGCGGCGTATACATCACCGACTCTGTGCCGATTAAAGAACCGGAGTAGAAGGGAAAAGTGATTATGACGACAACGATGTGAAACTTGGAGGAGAGAGAGGCGGATTCAACGCGTTCAGTGGTATTGTTGTCGGAGACATTTAGCTTTCCATGGAATTACTGCTATATGTGAAAAGAAGTTGTGGAGAAAGATAACCCACGATTTACAATTCTAATTTTTATTTTGTGCAGGTGAAACCGGTTGATTTGAATGGCAATATTGTATTAATATAGAAAAGAAACGGCGTGTAAAGGTTTGTGAGGGTTTTTGGTTAGTTTTCTAATTATGATTTTTTATCTTGCTATAGGGCCCAATTTCCCTAATTTTAAAAACTTTATATAATCATATATTTGTTCGAAAAAGAATCATAAATAGTAAATGTTATTAAAACTTAGTTACTTTTGAACAAAATAGATACAAAACATTATTTGCACCTCAGCTTGTATGTTTTTCTTTTCCTGTTTGCAGTTCACTTGTTGATTTCTAATATTATTTTAATAGCATTTTCAACAAATCTAATGAAACAAAAAAAATACAAAATGTAATTAATAGATAGAGCAAAACATATAATAAAATACGACAACAAATCACAGAAGTCTAAGAAAATATTAAATCTCAGTGATATTTTGAGTTGCGAATTACAAAAGTCCCTAATAAAATTATAAAAAATACTAACGAAAAAAAAAGAAATAAAAAAGGCTTGCATGAAATTCCAATAGAGCGATTCAGACAGAAATCAAGTACTATGAAAAAGTGGAATATGAACAATTGATAATTCAAATAATTGTTATAGTATCCATTATCCATATACTGTAGTTATTTTAGCAAACCAAACTCGAAAGAAAAAAATGGAGAAAATAAATCATTTTAAATAAAATAAATCATTAAGTTTTCTTGGTAAATTATTTATCTAATGACATGTTATTCTATACATAGTAAAAAATATTAGGGCAGTAAGGCTATTGGAACATGAACCCAAATCATCCGCATTTGTTGAAGGAACAAATCTAATTCTTTTTTGAGTCATTTGCATAGAAAATATCAATTAAGTTGGTAATTTGCAAAACAAGGAAAACAATGAAAAGTGGAAAGAGAAAGATGTGAAAATTACATTGTTATCCCTATCCAATGTTACTCCTCGGACATTACGCCTCCAACTCACTTTTCTTGTCATTAATCTCATCGAAGCTTCAAGGGTGATGGCTCCACACCGTCCAATTAGTCATTCGCGCCAGGGGCTCACATCGAGCAACGGAGCTTCGTGTTTCATCCGATTATGGTTCCACAGAGCTTGAGTTGCAGTTTGGGTGTCGAGAACTCTGGATCGAGCAAGAGGGAGACCATGGTTCAAGCACGTCATCATTCACAGATCGATTCGTCAAATCAGAACTCAAAGCTTTACACCGAGGGCATCAAATCGGGCGCACTGGAGAATATGGATCGAGTGCTGCGAGTTCTTCGACGGCTCAAGACCAAACTTTGCCTAATTTGCACTCGAGGTCCCTGAAATTTTGACATCTCTGGTTTTGACCCCACAATTTATATATTAGCAGATTTCACCCTCAATTTGGGCTCAAAACTCTTGATTGGGCACTCCAGCCCCTAAAACCTTTATAATTACTAAAAACACAAAAGGACTCCAAAATAGATAGATGGCTAACCAATATATTTCTAGTCTATTGATAACAAAATAGCTAGGCTCCAAAATAACAAATATGTTTATAGTCTATTAAAAAAGTTTAGACGGCTAACAATTTTGTTTAGTCTATTGAACTAGTTTAGATGGCTAACAAATATGTTTCTTATCTATTCAGTTAATTTAGACGGCTAACAAATATATTTCTTGTCTATTAAATTAATTTATCCGGCTAATAAATATATGTTTTGTATTTATCTTCTTTAAACTTATTTTGATTTTATTTTAGCCGGCTAACAAATACTAACTAATGTAGTTGATATGTAAGTTAGCATGGTTATATTCTGATTTATACGGTTATTTTAACTATTAGCTACTATTTTGAGTTAAATTTACCGGCTATTGGATCAGTTGGCGGTTATGTTAATTAGTAATTGGATGATATTTAAAATATAGTTGTGTGGATTGAGCCAGTAAATAAAATATATAATGTATAAATTGTTAGAGGTAAAATAAAATGGTTATATTCCAATGTATACGTCTAACTCTAATAAAAACTAAACAAAAAAAATGGTAGCTGGATAATAAAAGTGTGAGCCCATAGAAAATATTGTTTTGCTTTTTCATTATAGTTATCCGGCTACATCAATTTATAGCATAATGAAAAGATCCATGCGGTGGATCCATGCGGTGGAAACAGTGGAGGGGGAAGGTGATACTTTCAACGCAGACCCCTGAATTTCAAGTTATAAAAGGAGATGATCTGAAGTCTAAGAAAATCTTCGCGAGGGAGATGGAGTGGGGACCAAACATTGATTTCCAGAAAATGTTTGATTTGATTAAGAAAGTGGCCATCGAAGGGAGGTTGATGGTGGAGGAGATGATTAAGAAAGTGGCCTTCGCGCATGGGGGAGCTATAAGAAAAGCTTCGTGTCGTACCACTCATGAGCGCGTACAAGCCAATTGGATTGTATCAATACGTCACTTGGATTGTACCAATACGATCTCACTATGTTCACTTTCTTCGTGGAAGAGTATGAAATTCTCCTCATTTTTCTTTGCAACCAAACAGAAAACAGAAAAAAAATAAGAGACGAAAGTTTGATTAGAAAGAAAAAAGAAGAAAAGACAAGAGAAAGAGAAGGAGCGGAGGAGAGAGACTGGCATAGCAGAAAGAGATAAGATAGGAGAGATGAGAGATGAAATAAAGGAATAGGGGTGCTATGGCCATTATGAAAAAACACGTCACCAAAAAATGGTGAGATCCATCCGAGCAAATTATGCAGTTAGTGGTGCATAGGGAGTGCAATTTCTCTTCTTTTTTGAGCAAAGAAGGAATAAATATTTAGTTGTTATTCATAAAAGAAGAAAATATCATTATTATCAAAAATAAAGGAAGGCGAGCCTTCAAATCTTTTACCATTCTGATTTAATGGGAAGCTTTCAACAGCTAGACTAAAGGGTAATGACCTATAAAGTTTGGCACTTCTAAAATTTTAATTGGTTGTGGCGCCTAAAGTCTAAGTTTTACGGGCTTTAGCTCGGGGCCGACCCATGGAACAAAAAAAAGCTCATGAAATCATTCTGTTTTGGTGCTGCAGGCAAACATGTTTGCAGCCTTGTACATTGCATTTGGCCAACTCTCTGTTTGAGTCAACTGTAATAAAGTTTTACAGTTTTCCATTCTTTTTTTTTTTTTTTTTTGTCGTCAACTCAAAACCGACTTTAAATACACTCTGTAAACCAAACTAGTAATTCGGTATCCATATTGTCGGACCCAATTTCAGAAATTTATTAAAGTAGGCCCAAGCCCATGCAAGGTCATCATGAGTTCGACGTCGATCCGATCAGCGAGGTCGAAAAGGCATCGAAGATCATGGAAGCAGTTAGAAAAGGAAAATGCTATAAAAAGAAGCTAGAACGGAGTACAAAAGACACGAAAAACCCTAAAGCTTATCAATAATCACATCGACCTCATTCCATAGATTTATAGTTTGCTTATAACTTCTACCTTTCGTTGTTGTTCACGATCTTGTTTACTACTTAGTATCGAATCCCATATTCAATAAAGTCCATTTTTGTCAATCGAATTCTGATTGTATCGTTCTGTTTAAGAGCATCGTTGCCCACATCATTTGTCATCCCCTGATTAAACTCTTGATCACTACAAAATAATTAGTGTGAATTTTAGGATCTAGATTTTAGCGCCAGCTGTGGGGAAGATAAACGAAAAATGTCTTTGCTAAGAACCCGATCTAGGATTTCTAAGCACGACAATGGATCCCAACGCAACCAACCCCAAAAATGCATGATCTAGATTGACCGACGTCGATCCCACCGGAACCCCTCTAGGAACCGATTCGGCTTCCGTCGATCAAACAAACGTCAACGAAGCCACTTACGCAGCCCAAAATCAACAAGTTCCACCAACTGAAATTTTGATCACCGATAGGAGTACGGTCTCAGATCGAAACCTTCCCACTGATCGAATCAGATCTCGAGTGTGGAATCATAAGACGGACATAACAACACCCGAAGATCCGATTCGAACAGATAGACTGAGATCTCCAACTCACTTGGCCCGAACTTAGGAAGAAATGGGGGAACTCTGGGGAATGATTTTGACGCTCAATGATAAATCTCGAGACCAAGAGATCGCTCACCGAGCCATTGCCAGCCGCCTGGAAAAAACCGAGAGGGAGCTCGCAAAATACCGAGAAAATCCCAAGGAAAGAGCCCGACAACACTCAGGTTCCATCTCTGCGAACACCGCTCCCTCGAAACCGCGGAGCCCTCGCCTCCCCTGAACTTGCCAGCACCTGGTCGGACGCTACAGGGGGAAAATTTGCGACAGACCCCCTAGAAGGGACGATCTATCGAAGTCTTGATTATAACAGTCATGGTGAGGTCGAAAACAAAATGCAGGGCATCAGAACTACCCCAATCCCAACTCGAAACGGACCAGCAGAAGCATCTCCGCAGCAACATCAAGCTCGAGATGACCGATTCTCCTTCGGAGGTAACGTATCTCAACGAACAAGACCCACAGCACCAAAAGATCCCATCTCGGAATACGATCCATTCCGACCGTTGAACGAAAAACCACAGGGAGACGATCAAAGATCCTCGAGTCAAGCAGGAGCGTTCAGAAGCTACGTTGAAAAGAACGACGCCGAACTCAAGAGGATACATGCCATCGTACATATGACAACAAGCTCGACCCCCGATATCGATCAAGTTATCAAGGAGACTTGCCGGACTCCGTTCACAAACCGAATAACCAATGTAAGGTTACACGACGCAGGGAAGATCAAATTCCTTGAATATTCGGGTAACTCTGATTGAAGGCACACGTGCGAGCCTTCCGGTTGGCTGATTCAAGAGCGCACCTCAATGACGAGGAGAGGGAAGCGGGTTATTGTCGTTTCTTCATCGACAATCTCATAGGCCCCGCCTTGAAATGGTTCACTGAGCTTAAAGGGAATTCGATCGATGACTTCACCCAACTCGTATCGGCATTCTTGAAGCAATATTCAATGTTTATAGAAACCCGTGCCACCGAAGCCGACCTGTGGAACCTCAAGCAAGCATCCTTTGAACCACTGAGAGCTTACATAAATAATTTCAAAGAACTCAAATCCAAAATATCGAGCCTAAATGAGGTAGTCGCGTTAGCAGCTCTGAAAAAACGACGTCTGGGTTTTCTTCCAAGTTTAAGGAAGAAATGACAGTCCGCGCACCTCAGTTGACGACATGCTGTATCGTGCATCCTACTTCGCAACCCTCAAATAAGAAATAGCCGCCTTGAAGGAACAATACCACGCCAACAAGAACGGAATAACTAAAAAGCCGAATACTCTGAAAGAACAAACTACCAAAGGACAACATTCATGCACCATAGTCTCGTCATCACAGAACAAACAATCGACGTATGACCCGAGAAAGTACTGCGCCTTCCACAAGCGAAAGGGACATTAAACTGAAGAATGTCGCGCAACACTCCGCAACATGGAAGAAAATAAAGAAAATGATGAGAACGTGGAAGAAGAAGAAACTCCGACGACCCCAAAAGTCAAAGGTAAGGGCAAAAGAAGCAGAGAAGTCAAACCAGAAATGCCAGAATCTTCCCCTCTAGCCCCAAAGAAAAGGGGCGACATGATCCTATGGGGGTCCGAACATAAAAAGACACCAAATAAAACCACGGAACGAATAAGCATCGACACCACGATGAAGATACAAGGCCCGGAGTGGTTCAATAGGACTTGTTCTCCTCCTCTCAACCGAACAACAAGATACCACCACGAGCCCAAGGAGAACCACAAATTCGGCAAGATTCGATGACTACTGGAGAAACCGATACATAAGAAAGAGCACAGCCTGTGTTTACTCAAACCGAACCTGTCCGGGGGGCAAGGACACCACCAGCCGACACTGACCAAAAATGGTACTTCCCAACGCACCACCAGAATAAAGGAAAAAATCGACTTCATTTATGGAGGATCGAAATTTTGCAACTCAATCAACTCCATCAAACGAAGAGCGGAAAGGAGCATCAGCATATGAGACCCTTTGTCAAGCCCCGATCAAGAAATCACCTTCAACGCACTCTTTATACGAATCGACGTCGGAGGATGCGAATTATCCAGAATCATGATAAATACTGGCAGCTCCGCAGACGTACTCTTCTACGACGCGTTCAAAAGAATGAGATTCACCAAAACACTCCTCAAACAAGAAATAACCCCACTATTCGAATTTGAATGAGAGACTACCTATTTTTATCCGATCCATCAAACTCGCCGTAACCGCCAGAGATGTAAGAAAAATCGTTGAATTTATCGTCATAGATCGACCCGCTCCATTTAACGCCATCCTCGGGAGACCATGGCTATACAACATATTCTTCCTGCTACATTCATACGAATAAAAACACGCTCTTAAAAAACGCAAACTGATGCCATCGACATCAATATGCTCGATAATTTCTACGACACATAACTAGACTGTAAAGGTCATACAAACCTTAACTCCAAACGAACTACAAAAGGCTTGATCCCTTCAATAGGGTACGTAGGCAGCCTTCACAAGGCGCAGCCCCAATCTTAAACGCTTTCCGCTTCATGGAGAGTGGAAAGATCACTTTCAACAGACCTTTCCAACCATTAATTCCACCTAACTTAACTAAAACTGGCTAACCACTCGCAAGAACCTTACGCTAGAGGCTCAAGATTCTAACGAGTAGAGGGGCTAACTGTTGGTGTCAAAATCGGTCATGACGGAATCACTGGCTAAACGTCTCCGCAAAAGTTAAAATAAAAATACGTTTTATAAAACTCGAGAAGTGGTTATATAAAACCCGAGAAATCGTTTTATAAAACTCGAGAAGTCATTTTATAAAACTCGAGAAACCGTTTTATAAATCCAAATGAAGTTTCCGAACAAAAGAAATCCGCGGAAAAACTCGGAAATCGTTATCTCAGAAGAACGAAACGAACGTCGATTACATGATCGTCCGAGTTAAGCACAAAACCGCGAAAAATCGAAACCGCCGTAAAATGTGAGCTAGTCCCGTCACGACTAGCTCGCTGTTCGGTGAGCTAGTCCCATCACGACTAGCTCGCCGAACGGCGAGCTGAACCGGTCCGGTTCGGCTCATCGTGCGTCGAGCCGACCATCCCGAGCCTCGATCTCCCACGTCCCAATTCAAGGCTCACGTCCTTTGACACGATCATGTCCCGAACCACAGTCGAAATGTCTCCCGTTTCGTCTCCATCCATCTTACCATTCGAGTTTTACGATAAAAACCGTAAAACTTTGTTTTCTCGAAAAGAACTCGAGGAAATCGTATAAAACGGCAACGGTTAAACGAAACACCGAACATTGCCTAAACTATTCGATTTATTCGAGATTTTTCATAAAAATCGTAAAAAACGCGTTATTAGTAAAAAACGTCGAGTGAATCGGAACAATGGCAACGATTAACCGAAAACAAACGTAGCTAAAATTTACGATTAACTCGGGGAATTTACTAAAAACGGCATCGGATCAGGAAACGATCTCATATAAAGTCGCAAAACAGATTTATCACAAAACGGCTCAGAAGATCCTAAAACGTGATAA